GCTAATAGGCATATTCTCACATCTATCCCAGTGATTTGGGGGTTACCAGAGTTGAAAGGCACATGTAAGAGATTATTTGATGTTTATGTGCTGTAGCGCTTCTCTGCACCTTTCTCTGATGCTTATGGCTTGCAGTAGGGTAATGGACAGCATTAGACTGTTTGCCTCGTGGCAGTTTGCATGGAAATGTCTACATAGAGATTGTACCAGTTTAGCTTTATTAAGATTATAATTTTTGTTTGATTGGTTATGCTTTAATATGTATTGGCATACTGGTATGGAAGGGGTCTGGAGCTGTGTTGCTGTAAAGCTCCTTTCATATCCCTATAATTATACCAATTTCTCTAATGAGCAAAAAAAAGAACAGCCCTTCACAAGATAGACTGATCTGTGACAGTTTCACGGAAGTAGGAGGCCTTTGTGTGCGTTTCTGGTGTTTGCTCTTGGCGTTCCAGTGTCGTGATCTTGGATCACCACCTGCTGTCTGATGAAAGAATTCATCCTACGTCTCGTTTTCTGAACCACGTTTCTCCTCATTGACATCGTCTCCAGCTCCCACCCTTCTGCAAGGTACCGCTACATGCGGTTACTTACCCGTCCTCCGCTTAGCTTGGAGCTACAAAGTTTGTTAATTAATTTAAAGCTGGGTAAACTCTTAGAAATGTGTCCCCATTAGGGATTTTTCACTGGTTTAGCGAATTTGTTTTTTAAACAAAATGTGGGATGGGTTTGGACTGAGCTGTGCAGGCAAAACCCTGACCTAAGGAAGGAAGTTGGCACCTGTGAGGACATGGCTGGAGCTTTGTAGAGCTGAGAATAGGGACCTGAAAGGGAAGCCCCAATGAATATCCTGTGTCCCTCTTGTGCCCTGAGGGCTTCAGTGCTAATGAATCAGATGTCAACATTTTGCAAGAGCAAAGCTGCTTCTAATTCCTGCTTGCTGTGGATGAGTGATTTTTGTGGGAGCAGGGCAACAGAATGAGTAGAAAACATAGGAATTGCCGGTTTTCTTTGAACTGTAGGTTGCCGTATGTTGTATTGAAGTCTTCTTGGGGTTTTTTGTCTGTTTTGTTTTGGTTTTTTTTAAGGTGCATGTGTTAGTTACACTGAGTTCCGGTTGCACTGAACAGCCTTTCCCAGTTTGGTGAGTGTGGGATGGCAGCTAGCATGGTCGGTGCATGGCAGCACAAACTCATGGAGAGAATCGGTTAACCTGGAACTGCTGAAATTGTTCCTGCAGTCAAAAGTCCCTTAAGCTCCCCTCCTGGACACTGCCAGTCACCCTGCCTTGTGGCTGAGAGAAGTGTCTATCTGCTCCTGAACGTTAGTAGATTGATTTCATGCCATCGCACAAGTTGAAGACGGCAATAGTTTTTGTGGGGAGCTGCAGCCTGGCTTTCCTAGTCCTGTGATGGCGCCCTTGGGTCTGCTTGGGGATGGAGACAACTCTTGGACATAGCCATCTCAGTCTGTCCTTGTGTTTGAGTCAATGTTTAAGAGGACTTCATGAGTTAAAACAGGCAGGACTGGCAAAGCTGCAAGGTATATTTGTCTAGATTAGGTAGACGAAATACTTCCAGTTGAGTCTCTCCATTTTTACCAGGAAGTTTAGGGGTTTCTCCATGTTCTTTGTACCTCCTGAGAAGCAGAAAAACAGTGCCTCTGACTGCAGGATTTTCCCTGGTGGGTTAGAAGTAGGGAAAGGAGTTCAGGTTCTATATTTGAAGATAAATGGGATTTTTAGTATTTTTGTGTGTGTGTTAGTTCTTGAAAATATGAAGTGTGGTGTAAATGTTGAAATTTGGTAGAATAACCGAAGAGGTAGAATCTCCTCTGGGTTTAGAGGGTATTGGTATGCCATGAAACCTGCAGCGATATCATCGGGAGTCTTTTTCTGTAGACACTAGTGGAAACAGAAGAAAAGTTATTCTAAAGCATCAAAGGAAATTAAAATTACAAAAAATCAGATGGGAAACATATATAATCATATCAAGAGAAAAATAATTTGAGATACAGATACTCCATGAGATGATGAAACCTGGACAATAATAATGGTAATAGATCTACAGATAACCTGAGACTTTAAATTAAGGATGTGTTTGTAATAAAAGATAGGGTTTTTGCATGCTAGTGTGACTGGGGGGGGCAGGGGGAAGAAGTGACAACGTGGTTGAAAACATTTCATTGTTCACCAGAAATCCCTTATTTGAAAATCTTAGGAAGGTCAGAGAGAAGTAATAAATAAAGTTACCAGGATATTTTGGCTTGCAAGGTGTGATTAAGTTCAAAATAAATATGTATTATCAAAACATCACAAGCAACAGAAGAGAGAGCAAGCGTTTTTCATCCTTCAAACATTTGCAGATAATTGAAGAAAGGAGAGAAAATATTTAAAAGGTTGAAATGCATTTAGACTGGAAGGAACGGTATGAACTGAAAGGTAAAAATGTTGAAAATAAGATTATATAAGGTTTATGGGCTGGCATTTTAAGTAGTCTAAGAGTGAGATTAAACAAAACGCTGGAGTATGTCCTTTGGGGAGCAACCCTGCACCGTTGAGAGGACGGCAGAATAGGTTTTGTTTGTGGCTAATTAACATTCTCTTCCTCCTATCCGAGGCACTACTGCTTGTAAATCTAGCTTGTTTTGAGAAAACTGGAAATAGTCTCTGCTCCTGCATCTTTCCTGGGGCTATCCTACCAATTTTTGGAATTTTTTTAAAGAAAGAAATCGGTTTCATATTTAGCTCCTACTTTAAACACAAGCAATGCGCAGACAACGCGGGCTGTATGGAAGTACGCAGACAACTGGGTATGATGAAGTATTGTAAGCAAAAGAGCTTGAAAAGGAGGCAGGATGTGGACAGAGCGGAGCTGTCGTGACAGGGGATAAATGTTCTGAGTAGGTGGGTGACGGGTTTTCCGATACCTGGTTCGCAGTGGGATAAACCATCGTTCAGCCTCTCCTCCCTCCTGTTTGTAAAACTCGCCCTGCAGATCTTGGTGGTGGTTTAGGTTGAGCCAGAAGCTCCCTGCTTTGAAACCGAGAATGGCAAAGGAGCAAGCAGATGTGGAGGGGCTAGTGGAGCTGCCCTTCATTTGGGGAGTAGGGAAAAGCCCCGTCCTGCCTTCAGAAAATGTGCTCAGTGTGCGAAAAACCTCCGCAGAGCTCCCAGCACACGACACAGGGCTGCGACTGCTTGGGGGAGTGCGTGCAAGGAAGCGAGCGCTGGCTGCGGCTGGCACGCTTGCCTGAATTTTTCTTTCTCAGATAAGGCTGCGGAGTTTTGCGTTTCCGCAGGCAGCGAGGCTTTGCAGCAACTGGACTTTAGTTAATGGAACCGTCCGTCGCCCGTCGCGGGCCAAGGCTGCAGCTCAGCTCCGCTAAGTGGTATTGAATGCCCTTCCCTCTCCTTCTCCCCAGCTGCGGGAGCGCGTGGCCACGTGGCCCCCAGGGGAGGCAGGCCAGATAGACTAATGTCAGAGCAAATTTGGGATTCAGCCAGTGTCTGAGTGACCCGGTGCTGGCTGGAGGTGTGCTGCATTTATCATTGTTTCCTTTGCCCGGAAGGGAAAGCTGAAGGTAGGCTGATAAAGGGACTGAAAGGTTTGTCCGGCTTCGCTGGAGGTCCGTCAGCCCATGCATGCTTTCTGCTGAAAGGCTGCTTGGTAATTCCCACTCTGCCTTTCCCATCCACAGGATAAGGTCTGCTTCGCTTTTGCTCCGTTGATTTAAGCATGCTGGTGTCCGAATAGGCTTGAGCACCTCCGGGCTTTGTGGGGGAGGACCTAGGGCTGGAACAGCAGCCAAAATTTAAAATCAGGACTAGTCGGTTGACATGCCCATAAATCAAACAGCCCTCCTATCATAAATCTTTTCCGTGGATTTTTTTTTTTTTTCTGCTGCGGCGGTGGAAGCAGTAAGAGCGGTGCAGCAGCCTGGGCTTTCCAGGATTGGGCTTCAATGTCAAGGCAGTTCTCCTTCGCCTCAGGTGGCTGAATGCAGCTCCCTGCTCCCCCCTCGGTGAGATCCCTGCAGTGGCCGCAGGGCTGCATGCTTTCGTGTTTGCTTTGCGTGATTTTTCAGACACGGCGGGGTAGGATTTTTATTGTCTTTTGGGGATATCTTTTGCATGTTCAGTTGTCTGTTTATGAGTCATCTGGATGGTGTCAACTGTATCTAAGGCAGTGCTAAAAGCTGCTAAAAAGTCCACTGTTCTAGTGTAGAGGTCTCTGTGGGATACCCTAAGGTGAGGGAGGAGTGGATAATTAACGCCTTGTGCAGTGGTAGTGATGCTCAAGACTGGGAGAGGGTGAGTGTGCTCCAGGCTTGCAGTTTCAACTCAGTTCCCCACAGCTCTTCGATGTCTTTTGCACAGCCGGCACTAAGCAAATGAGATGTTCCAGCAGCTGATACCTGAGCACCCGTGCTCTGTACTCAGTGCTGCCAGAGCAAAGGAGGGGGCTGCTACACAGATGGGGTTTAAGAAGTGTATTTCTTTTCTGTTACTGTAACACAACAGGGGAGAGTGTGCTCTGAACCACACCATGTTCTTGCTTCTGAGTAGAGCCATGAGGGTCAGGCTGAGGCAGACAGACCCAGATACGGTAATTTAAGGGATATTAAAGAACCTTGTTCTTCTATCTGTGTTTCCTTCTCTGTTTCAGTGCCTCTTCTCCCTTCCAAAATAACTCCTTACTGTGTGTAAAGCCTTGTGCGAGCTTACAGGGTATGCAAGTTGCAAGCCCCGCGTAGTTGCTTCTCCATATGCTACCCAGTAGCGAGAAAGTTACCCCAAAAGATTAAGAAAACAACATCATGGCTAAGAGGAGGGAGACCTGCTCTTTCTGATAGAGAAAATAATAGAAGACTCTGCAATATTATGGTGGCAGTGGGTGGGATATTCACATGAATACGTGTGTATGTGATTTTTTTTCAAGCTGATGTTTTGGTTCATCTTCTGTAGTATAAAGCTGTTTTCTCCTTTTCCCTTTCTTCAGGGTAACCAGGAGCCAGCAGCAACTCCTGATGCAATGGTGCAGCCATTCACCACAATCCCATTTCCACCACCCCCACAGAACGGGATTCCCACAGAGTATGGGGTGCCACACACTCAGGACTATGCAGGCCAGACCAGCGAGCACAATCTGACGCTCTACGGAAGCACGCAGCCGCATGGAGAGCAGAGCACGAACACGGCCAGCACGCAGAACGGATCTCTTGCAGTAAGTGCAGAAGGGCGCAGAGCCAGGAGAGCAGCACGGTGCTTTGGGAAAAAGCAGCCATTGGTTAGATTGCTAACTGCTTCTTAAGCATGCAGCAAATCAGCGGTAGAGTTGAAAAGGAGAGAATTATAAATGAAACATAGTTTCTGACCTTACGTTACTAGGTTCCTGTCTTTCACCTTGTGCGTGTTCCCCTCGTATGTGGGTGCCTGCAAAGAGCAGTAGTACTTGGGATCATGGTGTTTTTACCATAGTGGCATTGTCTGAAGACAATCCTTTACAAAAGTGTTGATTACCGTGAGTTAATTGGTGAACGGTTCAAATGAATATGATGGAGGCAACTTCTGGAAGGTTGATGGTACAAAGGATTAGAGTGAGCACATGCATTGTAGATGTAATCTCAATGTGTTCCTGTTTTCAGAAAACTGGCAGAGTAGAAAACTACTTTTCTTTGACTTTCTGAAGATTGCAGGTAGCTTCAGGGGGCAAAGACAGGAGAGGACCTCTCAGCTACTGGGCATCCATTTGCCAAATAAAGATTTTCACCTTCTTATATGTTTTTTGCTTTCTTCTTCCCGTGGCCTGGAACTGGCACTGGGCAACATGCTGGCAGATTATCCCAGGAAAAGCTTTATCCACCCCTTAAGCCACTTGTTAAGACTTAACTTCCTAATAAAGAGCCTTATGGTGAGAGCCTTCGGTGCTCAGTGGCGGATTTAATCTGTTAATGCTTTCAGTTTTACTTGTAGTTGGGCATTTGGCTCGCCGAGATTATTTTTCCCCCTGTAAGTACTGAGTGATTCAGTGCCAACAGTTGGAAGAACTGATAGTGCCAGCTCGAGTGTGTGTGGTTCCCAGTGTGCGCTTCTGCTCCTTCTGCAGTGGGCAGTGGCTGCGCGATTGACACCACTGGATTTGACACTGGTAAGGTATCTTTGAGTTCATCCAGGGAACACCTCCACTTCAGCATCCTGAAGAAGAAAGAGGGTACAAACCCTGTAAAGCACATTGATAGTGCATAGAAGGAACTTCAGGTGCCTTTCTCAGCAAACACAAATGCGAATGAGAAGAGATCGGGCTGGAAATAAAACTTAGGGCTGGTGCAGTGTGCAGAAATACAAGTCATCGTTTTAGTACCAGATTGTCCGATGTCCTTCCAACCCGTAAGATCTGGGCTGCCTGTCTCTAGCAAACAGCTATCTAGAGCACTGCCAGTTGGATGGGAAAGCTGGAAACAGGGAATAAAACAAGGCAGTGGCTTTCCCCATGTATTTTTACTGTTCCCATCCATGCCCAGAGCTTAAGAGCATTTCTTTTTAATGGAAATGATGTGAGCCTTGACCTTGAATGTAAGCTCTTGCCAACCCTCCTGTTCCTCTTCCATATTAGGAGCCATCTCCACGGTGCTGCAGGGCCGAGCTCTGTGTTTCATCAACTAATGCCTGCTCCAAGGAGCCCACAGTGCACGGGGACGCTGGCTAGCTGGCAAGGAGGGACTGAGAGCCCATCTGTGCGGGAGGGAGCGTTGCTGGGAGACTGCTGGGAGGCAGCGGTGTTGCCAGGAGGCTGCGGAGGGAGCCTGACTGGCAGGGGTTATCCGAGAAGCAGGCTGAATAACACGTAACACTTGTACTGGCTGTTGGAAACAGGTGGGCACGTCTGGTCTGACCATTTGACGTGGTTAAAGATGGGCGAGCTGAGCGTGCAGAGTCGGGCTCGCAGACCGTAACTAACCGGCAAAGGGTCAGGGTGCAGATGAGCGCGTTGCTGCTGCTGCTGCTATGGCTGGGACCGATCAAACCCAGAGGATCCCAGATGGTGGCACATGAAGAAATCCAGGGGGAGGGGGAAGGCGCCTCAGCCAAGGGCCTTTCACATGCCAGACTTTCACATGCATGGGGTCTGGGATTTTCTGAGTCCCTTTATCCTTCTGTCTAGGACTCCTTCTGTATGAAGTTATTTTGATTCTGTGGGCTGCCTTGGGAGGTAATTGCTTGTAACTTTTCTCCTTCTTGATACTCTGATTAATGATGTAGGAACTAGGGGAAGGAAGAAGGCTCAGTAGTTACTCAAGCTAAAGCGTGCTATTAAAATACAGCAGAACAGGTTGATTATTTCACCTTGAACATCTACAGCTGACGTCAAGCATCTTGTCCATCACATATGCTGGTTATTACCTGTTTGACATACATGCTCGGTCCATGTCGACTGGACTGCCGTGCTTATGCTTTAAGACATTTTTTCCTTTCGCCCTTCTGTTGTCTTGCTCAAACAACAGTGCTAACTTCAGTAGAGCAAAAAGTCGTTGCGGGTGATGTATGATCCTTCCCTCCCATTATTGTGAGTGACAAGCACAGCTGCTGTCACGTGTATGAAGGCGATACCCCAGACTGAACAGCTGGTGGATTTTTTAGCTGCTGACTCGAAGCCTGTGCTCCCATGGGATAATTCAGAAATTCCTTCAGCCAGACAGGTAAGGTCTCTCCTTTCATCTAAGAACAAGGCCTGTGCATGGTCCAGTTGGCAGGACAGAGCGAGATACCAAAAGGCGTGCTCACATGGCAGGGCTTTCCTGCTTTTCGGGCTGGTAGCCTTTAGGATAATTGCAAAAGTAACATAGAATATGGGGAGTTTCATCTGGTTAGTAGGATGTTGTGCAGCATTGTAATGGAGTCTGTAATGGGGTCCCTAACACACTAAGCAGGAGCACCTTTTCACAGAAACTTGCCAGATTCTGACTGGCAAGTCAGATTGAATGATTTGAGATTAACGGTGGTGTCTGAGTTAATAGACAGTGGTCTTGGAAGCCTGAGGTCAAACATCAGCCATGAACTTAAGGGGAATCGAAGACCATGCCTTCCTCTGCAGTCTTAAAGCCCTGAGCAAAGGGGAACGACTGGACAGTGCCATCAGCTGAGGATGAGCTTGGTTCCGGAGGTCTGAGTCTAGTGGAAGGCATTCAAAGCTCTCAGAGCAGGGGCGTGGAAAAGAAATTGGCACAATACGTGGTGTGATACAAACAGCTTAATATTTTGGAATCTTTTTTATTTTAGGATCAAGCCTCATCTGTGGGGTTTTGTTTCTTGCCTGGCATGTGGGTCTCCCAGTCTTCATCTCCAAGCATCTGTCCTTTCTCTTGATACTGTCCTAAAGCACAGCTGAAAGACCTAGATTAAAAATAGACTGAGGTACCGGACCATATTTGGCCTACTCGATCTGCCTGTTGCAGCCTGTCTCTTAAACTGTTGACGCTCTGCATTTCACTCCTTATGGTGCTGGGTCACCTGGTCCCTTCCCCCTTCTTGGTTTACATTAGTGCACTTATCCCTAATGGGGACACCCAGCACAGATAGCTGCAAGTGGAGATGCTAATTAGGCTGCAGTACCTCTGGCAGCTGAGCTGATCTAAAGATTCACTGCTGTCAGAAAGGAGAGGTCTGGCTCCAAGCACAAACTCCCACTCCTGTTTACTGGCTCGGGCATTCCTTACGTGAGCCACTTTAATTCACTGACCTGGCAGAAAGCTGTCCAATTCTTTCGCTGGGTTAATGAATTAGAGCAGCTCTTGGAGGGATCCAGCAAACGCTGTTGTTGCAAGGTAAGCGTATGGAGTGCATGGCCAGAAGCCGAGAGCAATTGTCAGCTCTCTGCATCTCCTGGTACTCTACCCGCGGAGGGAAGATTAATCATCTGCTGAACTAAAAAGGCTTGCTTGATAGTAAATGCAATGCACTTAATGCTGTGAGCTGATTATTCCACTCATTTCTCTTGTTAATGTCAGAGGGAAGAATTTGTGTGTCTGTATAAATTATGGAATGCAGCTGGAGGTATAGAAGTAGAGGAATAAGTTTATGTAAATTACTTTGCATGAAAATGGCAGGTGCTGTCGCCTTGGTGTTACGTTGTCGTGAGCCAATATAAATTATTATTTAATTACAGAACTTTGTGTCTCTCGGCTTCTTGATGTGCCGTACTGAAACGTGTTTAACTCATCTGCTATACCACAAAGGGATATTGACTTTCTGATTTCTTAAAGGTCCCCCCATCTGTCGTGGGGGACCCCTAAGTATTGCGTTCAGAAGGAAGACAGGAAAGCTACTCAGTTATCTGGCTGTGCCCCACACCTCTAGTAAGGGTTTGGAAAGAAGGGAGCCAATGGCACCAAGGGTTCATCCGCTGACTTTTGTAACACACGGATGATGCTATAATGATGGCTTTCCCTGGAGTATTTCTTGCCTAGTCTGAGATTGCAGAATTTTCCTCTGTAATTATTTTTCATCACTTTAGTAATTAAAGCAATTGCTCGTGTGAGGTATTTCAGATGAAGAATACGTTTAATGAATATCCTCACTTATCTTGATACTGCTGAGCAGGTAGACACGAGGAAGAACTAGCTTGAAATAAGTAGGTAGCTGCTGATTGTTTGGCCACCTCAGCTTGGAAATTGCTGTCTTGAGGTAGCAAACTCTGACATTTAACATCAGGAATTTGCTTTGAGTATGAGGCAGATTATTTTATTATTTTGAGTATGAGGCAGATTATTTTCAGCACTTGTAGACTTGTGTCTAGTGAGGCAGATTTAAAAATGATTTCGAAAGAAAAATAGGAAATAAATCAGCAAATATCATTATGTTAGAGTATACAGCTGCGGTGCTTCTGCATATCTCTCAAAGGTTATAGCAGATCTAGAAGTAGTATGGGGAAGGATAATAGTGATGATGAAAGGGATGTAGCAGGTTCTTTATGAGAAGAAATGAAATCTTCGCATATGAAAAGAACTGACAGGAACGAAGGCGTATGACAAGTACATAGAATATTGAATGGTATGGGAAATAAAATAAGGAACTTTCCTGTTTTCACTTACTAGGATGCACAAAGGAGATAATCGGGTACCACATATGAAAAATACAGGATTTGTTTCTTGTTTTTTTCCATATAATGAAGAATTTAGCATTGGAACTGTTGTCCGTAGGATGCTTTGGAAGTTGAGACATCAGCTG